AGAGGTTGTGGAGCCTCCATCCTTGGAGATATTCAAAAGCCATCTAGACGCAGTTCTGGGCAGCCTGCTCTAGTCGACCCTGCTTGAGCAGGGGGTTGGACTAGATGATCTCTAAAGGTTCTGTCCAACCTCAGCCATCCTGTGATTTGGATGCACAGTGGGAATTTTTCATTAAAGAGAGTAAGATATGTTTATTACTTCATGATCTTTTTTAAAGTGGTGTTACTGCTTGAAACATTGTCTGAACTTTTTGAGACTAGTGCCACTATTTTGGTTTGGTTTTTATCTTGTCTCTAATTAAACTCTGAAGCAGTCACATTATTAAGTGTGACTTTTAGCAAACTAGCTGGATGGACACTTCCCTCTGGGGAGATCCCTTGGGCATCCAATCAGCACTTTTAATTAACCTGTGTCATAACCGTCAAAAACACTTTGATTTATAGGCTGAAGAAACTGTGTGTTTTAGAAGTGATAAAACCCAACAAGTACTTTGTCAGTGTGAGAGATAAGGAGCTGAACTAGCAACACCTATTAATCCGAGTACTCCTATCAATGAAGATTTCCTTGTGACTGACTGAACAAGATTGTAGAAGAGTACAATATGTTTTGGAAGACTTAAAACTTTAGGAAGAAACAAAGAGAGAAGCAGCTTATAAATTATTCTCAATTTAAAAAAAAATATGTAAATTGTGTGTGTGTATATATATATATATATATATGTATGTATATGTATATATATATATAAAATCCAACCCTGAAAAGTTCCAAGAGTCAACATTTTCTACAAAATTCTGCAAAGAATAAAAATCCTCACTGAAGTAAATGGAAAGACAGGTCATATACTACCTCAGACACAGTAATATTAAACACCGCTAAGGAGAAGAATTAGCATAAAAGAACTTGGAAAAAAGTAAGTCAATATAAGCAAAAGCTATATGGTTTTCCAGACATGTAATGTTCACACTACAGATAAATTAGCTCAGTAAGTGTACTGGCTAAGAAACAGACTTAAAATATCACAGAAGATGCATAATAAGGTTTAACAGTACTAACACAAAAAAAGACACATACAAAAGAAAAGATTAGCTCAATAGTTTCTATGCTTAACTCTTCTGCACAGGAAAGAAGAGAATTGAGTTTACTCAGTCTTTTCTATCATAATAATTGGATTCATTGCACTTGTATGAGCAAACCATTTCCGCACACAGTCTAGATTCCCAAAATTTGCAGCTCTGTCCAGTTAGAATTAACATTGCACTTACTGCATTTGTGGCAGCCATAAGCTAAAAAGCTACAGGTTTTATACTTGTAATGGTTCTGCACCATAAAAGTGATTCACCATTATTTATCAGTAAAATGAAAATAAAGTTATAAAGCAGTAGTTGCTTTTTTCAAGTTAATAAGGATAGAATGGTGTCACTAACTTCTACTCAGTAGTTACAGGAAAAGCAAAAAAAATCCAGTAAGAGCAAAATGAAGGTCGCCTTCACATGGTTCTCTCATTCAAGTCTCTGTATTTTGGACAATCTCCAGAACTGTCTTCTTGTTAGCAATTAACAACAGTTATGTTCCGACATCCAGCACGCTTTATTTATATTTGCCATCAGTTGTATGTTACAGCTCTCAGATTTTGCTTTCTCCTTTTGAAAGTTATGGAAGAAACAGAAATGAGAAGGAAGGCAGACTTCCTGAAGGATTACATGGCATTTAAAGGAGACAATTTTCAGCCTGATTAAAAATAGTCCAAAAAAAAAAAAAGAGAGAGAAGATTATTCGCTCCTAATTAGTAAAGCGTTAGCAAGATACGAGTTTCACACTGTTTGAAAAAAATGTGCACAGTGTTTCAGATGAGGGGTAAGAATCTAACTATCTAAACACATGTAATAGTTTCTTTCTGTCTGTGCAGAAGAACAAGCTATGGATTCTGTAGTCACACACAACTCTGAGTGAACATTTTCATTTTCACAGAGTCTGTGCCTGAACCGCAACACAGATGCACTCCACGTTCTTCCAGCTCTCCACAGCACCTCTCCTTCCATGAATACCTAGGTGTCTTTACAGAAGCCAAAGCATAGTATAAGGAAGGCGGAAGAGAACCGTGGATCATCCAGACCTCATCCCTGAATGAAGCCAGGATGAAAAAAACAGAACTAAGAGCTGAGAAAGTCTCCAGCTGAGACCTCAATAGGCTCCTATTGAGATAGATGATGAATCATTCTGTTCACTAGTTTATACGTTGCATTTAATTGGTAAGCCCCAGACACTTCAGGGCAATAACTATTTGGGCAACAACTATTTGGGCAACTTTTGGAAAAATAAAGAGGATCACAAAAGTCTAATGTCTAGAAATAGCTAATGCATTGCCGGTTTAACTCTGTGAGGTCTTACTCTCAGAGCAACTAAACACACTATAACGCTGTATTTCTTATTTCCCAGTAAAATGACACCTAGGCTAATACTAAGACAAACAACAAAACAAAAATGAGAGACGCTTATGACGCCCGTAATGCATACAAATTATTCTTGTACTAGAATTAGGAACTCCTCATGCAACACACTATACATTCAAATTCTTTTTTTTTTTAAATGAGTTCAAACATCATGCAAACAATTTCTTGTCCTACAATTAAAGGAAAAGTGCATTTCATAAACCCCTATGAAAGTAGAAAATAATGAATTTCATGTAATAAGCAGAATTTGGAAAACATACCTAACTTGTACAATGCAAAAACAGTTCAGAGTCATCCAGTTGTTTCTGGCTAGTCAGGCAGTACTGATTTAGTATACTTTTTTTTTTTTTTTTAACACAATGAAGTCTTTGGAAGTACTACATGTAGTAACTGTTACAAATGAAATAACTATTCTTAAACTATTTCCTTTTTGTTAGACTCCAACAATTAAGCTTTGAAATCAAATTCATCATCTCTCCATAAGAAATTCATTATGCAAATAACTGAAATGAGCACATGAGAAACAGGGAATTAAACTTGACTATACCTCATCAAATCCTGTCTCTAACTAAATCATACCAGCCTCCTGATACACACCACCCAAGAATATTTACTTGTCAAGTTTTCCAAAACAATAAAATTACCCATACTTGCATAACACTATCTCAGCCCTGACTCCTAAAATACTTTTTGGCTTTACTTATTGGGAAGATCTGAAGGAAACTATTTACAGTAATAATACTACCACTCATAGTATTTCAAATAAATATCTTCTATATTTCTACTATTTTCTACTATTACTATATTTAGCACACAAGTTCATCTCACAGGTAGCATATCTACCCCTGCTACATTAATTACTTCAGTTTTTATTCAGTGTTTTCAAGCGTTTAATGTTTCTTTTCTAAATTCAACAATAGGTGAAATACTGTACTGCAGTTTCTTTGCCTAAGAGGCCAATTATACTGTTGTGTGAGCTAACATGGGAAAGGAGGAGCAAAATAATGGGTCATGAGCACAGCATGCTGAGGAGACGAGAGGACTAGGGGTTGTTCATAGCTTCTACTTTGGTCTATTTTAGCTGCTCAGGCTGGGAGGCTAGTCTCCCTCTGTAGCCACAGAAAAAAAATTCAGGCATCTTTGGGGGTTGCAGAAAGATGAGATTTGGGGCAGAATGTAACCCAACCCTGGAAGGAGCCAGGCCAGAAGCCTCCTCTCCTCCGCATGGAACAGGTTCCTGCCCTGGGACACTTCAGCCAAAAGTTGACTCTCTCCAAAGTCTGTGGGTGGAGGACAGTTGCACAAGCTTCTGGACTTGGCACTTAAAGTTAGATGTTTATAACAGAGCTGTGAATTCCTCAGGGGGTGCCAAAGAAATAGAGGAAAAAATTCACCTTTTCAGCTTTCATCCTGAAATGTCTTTTCCCCTCTACCAAAAAGAGAAGAAAAAGCTGAATTCAAAATTTAAAAGCTGGCTTGCACAAAAAAAGGATTTGCTTACACAACTATTCTACATTATTTGCACTTGAATAAGCAGCATGCTAAATAACCTAGACCATTTTAACACTTGACAGTATCTTCTATTAACTGGCAATATAGTATCTTCTAATAGCCTCTAAAATAAGAGGCAAACGGTTACAAGAAAATTTCCCCTTTATGCTAACTGGACAGATATATAACTGACTCACAATTCCACCCACACACACACACACACACTTCCCAGCATAAACTTCTGGTTACAGCTTTAAAAATATGTTGCTACACAAGCATTCTCAACTTTCTTTACTCTGCATAAGAAACAATACTACCAACTTCACTTTCATAGAATACCTTTCATCCCGCCAAACACTCAAAGAAATATTTACATAAATGTCTTTTACTTAATCCAACTCTGAAGCACAGAAGGAGCATTAATTTAGAGGAGCGCTAAAAGCACAAGTTACAGCAACACTGCACAATGATTTACGTCAAAGAAATTGTACTGCTTCTGCTGAGGTGAAATTGCAGTGGAAAAGTGAGCAGACAGAATAAAGGTACTGAGCTTTAAATTTAATCAAGGCTGCTAATGTTACATGTCAGCTCCTGACGTTGTCAACTACGGATAAAAGTCAATTGCCCAGACATAGGTGTCTAGATGCATTTTAGACCACAGAGTATCCCCTGGCCACTCCTGAAGAGCATACTTCTCCCGTAACTTTTGCATTTTATCTATCAGCCCACAGCAGATGTTTGAATCCTGACCTAACTCTTCATAATCAACAAGGTATGTTTTAATGTTTTCAGAAATATTAATTATAAGCCCTTTCCCTACCCTCATTCTCTCCCCCAAACCAGAAAATTTAATTTAAAGCCAGAAGCATTAGCCCTGCTAAGTCATTTTCTGTACTTATGCTTCTGCTATTCAAAAATTAGCCAAGTTAAAACAACTAAAGAGTTCTGATATGATCAGATATAATCTTATCACAAACACAGAAGACACAGTTTCAGGTATACTTTCCCACGAACAATACAGCAAACAAATGTCAGCAAGCAAAGAGAGTTGCAAAATACCTAGAACATGATGTTTTATTGTTTGATAACGTTTCTTTCTTCTCAGGGGTATTTTCTGGGTACTGCTGTTGTGATTTTTCTTTTCCATCACTTGCAGTTCTATCCCAACTCTTATTAACTTGGTCCATAGCACCTGCTGACTTTTGATCAGACATTAATTTCTCATCGTTATCTTTTGCGTGCGTTTTGGTCCACAGTGCAGTATCCTCACCAGGTTTTTGGAAACGGCTGCTCAAAGAGCTATGAATTGGCAGTTTTAAAGAGGACTGTTGTGATTCACAGTCATTATGCAAACTATAAGATGATAAGTCGTCTTCAGAGGGTTTCAAAAATTTGTGTTTCATGTTGCTTAGAGATGAGCTCTTTTCTAGACTTTGTTTTTCATCAGAGAGTTTTTCTGCTTTGGAGCGGTAGCTTCTCAACTCTGAGTCTGGGCTACTGAGGTCAGGGTCTTGGAGTTCTCTTGATCTATCTCGTTTGCAACCTCTATTTTCTTGCACCCATCCCTTGCCATACTTCTCCCCAGTATACGCTCTGAACATCATCTTATTTCTATCATCTTCATCGTGCGTCTCCTTCTTCACATGCTGCTCCTTCTTCTCTTGCCCACTTTCTGAATAGTCAGATTTCCTCCATCTTCCTTGTCTGTAATAATTTTCTTTTTTGGATGCAACTTTTTCAGCTTCTTCTAATCGTGACTGAAATATCTCCATTGACTAAAGGAAAAAAAAAAAAAAAAAAAAGAAAAATTATACTGCTTTTTCAGTCACGGGGTACTGAGAAGTTCCCTATAAAGTATTACAAGAAAGGCACTAGCCTGTGAAAATGAGTCACTGTGCAGGTGGAAGGCATTAGCCACAGAGTGGAAAGGAAGATCAATACAAAAAAAAGGGAGCTCATTGTTACAGTCCAGTTTCTGAGGTTCTGTGTTGTGAAGACATTCTGATCCCTTTTTTTGGGCTATTTCAACCTTTTATCCACTCTAAAGTGCCTAAGCACTCCTGAGAGCAGGCACCAAATCCTCAGAACTGCCTTCTCCCTGTAACTTAAAAATTAGAGACTTCAGCTAGAGAATAAGGCTTCCTTTTTCTTGATCATGAACATTTATTTATACTCACCAGATGCTCAGCTTCAGCAGAACGAATGGACAGTTCCGCTAAAGCATTTTACTACCCAGTTATACTGTTTAAACATGGGAGAGTGGGTTAAAAACCTTCACCTTGCAACAGGCTTTGAATTCGTATCTCTAGCTTTCTAGAAAAATACTCTAACCATTAGACAATTACACAAAAGAGTGTTCCTCTTCCCTGTTTCAAGCTGAATTAAATGCCACCAATTATTTTTTTTTTTTTGCCCAAAACATTAGATACTGAAGCAAATCAGGCATGGATCTCTCTCAACCACTAACCTGTACTTGGGAAACTACAGCATTTGTATTATTTGAATACTAGTTTCTTGATAAAGATTCTTAAAAATAGTGTTGTTCAGAATCACTGACTCTGAATAATTTCTGCCAGTACTGATCATCTTGGTTTCATCACTCAAGAATGACTACAATTCCATTCAAAGACAGTAATATGAAGTCATACTGCCTTATCCAAGATTTTCACTAGTAGTCCTAACCGAAACACAGAAAACTCAAATGCGATGCTATGACCAAGACTAAACATTGAACACCCCAGACCCTCGATCAATGCTTTTGAAGATAGTATTATAATATGTAGGGAGACAGGCTTTATGGAGTTGATATTTTTATGGCAGGTTGTTTTATTAAAAATTAACTTTTCAAGACTATTTTAAACACTTTAGAAGCAAGCAGCATTCTCAAGACACCTTGACTGAGCAGATCACAAACAGCCAGAACGTTCACATTTGATAAAATCTGGCACAGCTCTCCAAATTATCTTGGCATTATTATATACAAACTGTACGTGGAAGAGAGAGAACTATCTCCCCGACCATAGATCATAATTGTGGAAGCACTTAGGTACTATGTATCAGGGATCATTTGAACCTCCCAAGGCAGAAGAATTTTCAATTTGCTATAGTATCCCATATATTAAAAATATTTAACGAAAAAGATATAAAACAGTTTGGTAGCATTAAACTCTCCAACACTTGAGAGAAGCTTTAGAGGTTACTTCTTTATATGTCTTACACTACACATTAAGTATTTATGCCTTTATATGAAAGTAATCTTCTCCAAGCATCTACTAGTTGTAAATAAAAGAAAAAAAAATTAATTCAAGATGCTTACCCCATATCTCTCAGCTACAATTTCCTCAAAATTCCGTTTCTCTCGCTCAGCCTGTTCCTTCATCCTTCGGTACGATTTTCGTAACCAACTTAGCCCAGCATCTTCTACCACTGTAACTAGCGTTTAAAACAATGCATATTTTTATATTTCAGTAGTTATCCCTATTTAACACTCTACCTGTAATAGGAAACCTTCAACAAAACGTAATATAAAAATTGAAGGGATGCAAAAGAATAAGGAATATAATAATACAATTACATGGTTTTGCAGTCAATGCTAGATGTACCTTGGTAATACCACTGATTCAATTTAAGTTGTTCCATTTAAAATGAGCATTTCCAAGGCAGCGGTGGCATATGGGAAGTTGTGTTTTCTTAATGGAACTCAAGAACCTTCTTGTTGTTTCCCTTTCTTGCGTGCATTCTTCAACACACCCCTTGTGCATAGAAAATTAATGAGTAACCCATTGCTTTTCATTTGAGAAGTCAGCAGGGGTCTTAACATCCAGGATGCATTCTCACTGAGGCCTGTCACCTCTTACAGAGTGCTGATCTTTGCTGCTCTTAAAAGCTGGCATGTGGGGACACGCTAATGGTTTGCAGGACAGACTGCCCACAGGGGAAAGCCCCCGACCAGGAAAGTCAGAGACCCTACTGTCCCTGTCACCAGGATACAAGGACCCATCTTATCATGTAATGAATGTTCCATGACATTCTGAAAAATGTTTTCCTAGCTGCTCTCTCTGGAAATAGACAGGATAACCTTAGGGTAAGAAAAGCCGTGAAAAGGTTGCAGAAATAATATCTTCCACAAACAGCATCTGTAATGTACTTCATTTAAATGTGACTCAGCCTTCTGTGGTGGAATTTTTTAAGACTGTAATTTGTGTAATGGAATGAAAGGAACCAAATGAGATGACAACAATTTATCTTGTCCTGGTTAAACCATGCTTTCTTTTAATTAGCTCAAAATGGAGACTTTCTATGAAGATACTGAAGGTCAAACCACTCAAGATTAAAAAATAGTCAGGATAAATTCTGTAAAATAACATAATATGACGTTTACCAATATTTACTACTGAGTTTTCTTCCAAATTTTACTTTATTTTATGTTATTCTTAATTCTGCTACATCAACGTTAGTAGTAACTTGATAGTAGTAAAGAGACTGGAGAACGGAGGAGGAGGTTTGAGATTATTACTAAAAGTTGTCTTTTACCTTTCTTAACTGAAGCTGCTTCACCTTCCTCTGGTGGCAAACCTGTACCACCATCTTTCCAATAGGGATTAAGCTCTCTCTCAGCAAGCCTGGCCTTAAACAGAAAAAATTTCAACCTGTATAAATGTGATGCATTAAAAAGTCACTTTAACAACAGCTATCAAATATTTCAGTCAGCCCACCTACAAATGAATAAAAGTATATTATCAACCTACATGCACTCAATAGGGCACTGTTACTATGGATTCTCGTAAAGAATCAGTTAACCTTCTTTGTGGAAGACACTAACAAACTTTTGAAGGAAACAGTCTCTTCCAAAGAACAGTCTCCGTAATATGTGGTTCCATCTAGGGTTAAGACCAGTTTTATAATATCTAATTATACCAATTCTCTGCACTAATCAGAGACAACATATGAAGATGCCACAACTTCTTACAATCATTTCCATTTACACATATTTAAATAACAGATACAGAAATAACCAATATCATTAGTGGTTCCAGTCTCAAGCTTCCGAAAAGTCAAAGAATTTTTGTATTAACCCTAGCTGTTGATAACAAGGGATGAAAACAAAATCAGGAACCAGTGGTTTTAGTCAATTCATCTAAGTTAAAATAAACAGCAGGAACAAGGCAGCCCTAGAGGAAATGAACTACTCTTCAAGAGAAGCATTAAGGAAAGACTTTGAGCGAAATACTTTTGAAGTGCTTCTGATTCGTAAGATAGTTTAACAAAAATTTTTCACTGAAAACTGTAGTTCTAACTGGCTCTTTTCACATTGCTAGAAGAATTCAAGGCAGCTTGAATACCAACATCATACTTCAGAATAGTGTCTATTCTGTTTAATAATTAAAATGCAAACAAATAGAAGTATAGCATACATCTACCAAAAATTACTAGTAGACACCCGCAATCTGCTTGGACTTACTAGTGTGTTCAGGTCTCCCACTTAAAAGGGGACAACTGGTGACTTGTGACTAATATGTCATTACTTCGCAAAGGTCAACACGATGAAGAACCTGTGTATGGAAAACTGCAATGCTAAATTAAGCATCATACTACTACAAAATAATAAAACGTAACTCCTAGCAGAATCTGAGGTTAACTAGCGCGTTCTGCTCTACTCTGCACTGAAGATAACCTGCTTCACTGCATTTTGTATCGACGCATCTAGAGAAATGCAAGAGACAGGAAAACAAAATTGTAACCAGTTTGGAAAATTAGATCAATACAAAAGCAGCAGCAAGTTCATTATCTAGCAAGGAAAGGCTCATATGTAAAAAGACGTTCCAAAGACTAGTCACTTATGTCGGGTATAAAGAGGAAATTCAACATTTTTACTTGAACACAGAGCACTGGGCTAAAACAGAGAAAAAAAAAAAAGTTAATTGTGTTAGGAGAATCCATAAAGCCGTTTCAACATACGATAGGTTTAGGGGGAGGGTTTGTTTATTGCATCTCCAACAAAGAGAGGAAGAGTAATAAAAAGAAAAATCCACCACATCAGGATGCTTCAATCTTCACCACCACGTACAGTTTCCAAATTCTTCTAAAAAAGATGTTCTTTCCTTTAATAAAGCGTATCATGAAGAGATTTCAAGTCATCTTCTTACACTCATTTCCAGGATTACTACCTCTAAGAACCTGAATTGGTCACCAATTAAAAACACACACACACACATACAGTCCCAAAACCTTTTACCATTTTACACATTGTGAATCAGTAACAAACCACTTCATGCACACACGAATTCATTTTCCCCAAAGCAATGTAGAAACACGGGCCTTCCAACTTCTAGAGCTACGTTTGTCCAGTTTCCCCAGAACACACCTTTGTATTTTCCTGTGTACAAAATAGTACGAAGATGTATTTACAGGCAGTAGATAGGATACCAAAGAGAATTTGAAGTATGTGAAGCTCTTGAAACATATGCAAGCATATTTTCAAGTGCACAGTAGCTGATCTTCATTCCCTTACCTAGATATGGCCTAAAATATTCTAATTTCTAATTTTCCAATTCTAGAAGTTGTCTATGTAACATCTTCAATTCATCACCGCCATAGGTATGTTGTGCATATCTGTTGTACACTCTGTTTTGCACAAACAAATATGTCAGGACAGACACTCTGGTGCAGAAATCACTAAAGTATAAAGCTGCACAGAAAGCACATGATTGGGTAGAAGGATCTATAAAAAAATGTATTCTTCTAGGATCAACAGCACATATAAATTGTCATTAAGCATACAGTACTTGCTTACGTTCTTGTGATTTAAGAATTTATCAGATGTCCACACTAAGTGCTCCTTTAGCAGTCCAGAAAATATACAACAAAAATTAAATGGAAAAAAGAAAACCTTTAATCCCTACTCAGAAGACAATAACCCAACTGTTGCATACCACACAAGTACAGCACTCCAATTTGGTTTTTAGCCAGAACACAACTAACTGGAACGTCTAACAGCAATAAATAGCCTAATGTGAGATGCTAGAACAAGTAAACATTAGGCAGCGATCAGCAACTACGTCTTCAGATCAGACCACACTGCATTTTTGGAGATCCATAAAGAAAAGAAGCAGCCAGTAACAGTAAGCAAACAGAACTAATTTACTGACAACCTTATTCCCAACTGGACCCTGATCTTCCCACATGTTGCCCCGCTACTGCGGCATGAGACGCACAAGCACCTGGTCTGAATTTTTTCTGCAGGAAAAAAAAAGCCGCAACACCCTATGCTTCAACACAGAAACTTAGGTGAGCTTTTGTCACACAAAGCAACATTGCTTCTTACACATATAAAACAGAGAAGGCCAGCCTCACAGTCTGCCACTATTACTTAAGCAAAAGATCTCAGAAGTACTTTAAATATGATGGAATTTAGTACTTAACTAACTGGCTTGCTGCTTTCCAAGAAGATAGTATAAGGAGCTTGCTCCACAAGATAATCCTCCTGTATGAAACCCTTCCCATCACAAACAGAACAATTTCATTAAAGTCATGATCACAAGGTAAAGAAATACTCTTTGTAGTAAACTATATCAGAGGTTAATTTAAACAACTAGTGACATATAAAAGACTTAGGTATTTGAACCAAATCATTATACTGATTTGAGTAAGATGCAGGAAAAAATAAGTTAATATATAATTCCTCCTACCTGCTCAATTTCTTGAGCTTTCTGTTGTTCCAATAATTTTTCTTTCTGTTTTTCAGCTTTGACAGATAATGCTGATGTGGTTTTCAAAGACATGAAGTCTAAAGTCATCCACTCTTCTCTCTGGCAAAAGAAGGGAAAAAAGTTTTAAACGACACTAAAACATACAAAATCAGTGTTCTTACTTCTAACCAAAATATATTTCAGGTGCAAATCAAACTACTGCAACTACTGAGGATACACACAACAAACAGTGTAGGTCTGACTAACACTATTTTCTATTCGTTAGTAGTATTTTATACGAAAAGTAAATACAAATTTAAGAACTCCAATCTTTCAATATGTTTAATATTCACTTAGGCATATAAATTTCACAGAGATCTTTTTGTAATTCAAATTACCTCTTCCCAAAGTATTTGTGGAGCTAGTAAATATGCAGAGCCATACACACAGCTTATGGTTTTTTTAAATGAACACTGGACATATAGACCAATTCCTTTGCCATCTTGTTCTAGAACTGTATCTTGCTACTTCTGGCTTTAAGACTTTTCATGTCTGCTTTCACATATACAAAATTTGCACTCCATCACTCAGCATAGTTCATAGGCTCAGATGTATAGGCGTCTAACTGCACTGACAAATTAAACAATTACACACCTAAATTCTATGAACTGTACCCATAATAGCAGGTAAAAACTGCATTTACAAAATACAAACCAGACTGAGGATATTTAAAAAATAAGGGCTACTTTCTAAAGAAAAGTAGCATATTAACAACATGAGGTCTCCAAAAAAGAATCACAATATTTCATATTCAATGAAGTGATATACCCACCCAAATCTAATCTTCCTTTCTACATCTAAAACATTTATGAAGCCTCAAAAGAAAACAGTGACCTACACATAATTAACAACAGCTCTGCAAAAAGAGCTACTTAGAATACTTCTACGAACAGTCTAGACACATCTATTTTGAAGCAGGTCCTTGCCGAAGTGTCTTCACTTCTCCTCAGTAAGGTTCAAGTCTGAGAAGTCAATCCGAACAGATGCTATAAGTCACACCTTTTCTCTGTTGCTTAAAAACGATGATGTTAGACAACATACTAGAGAGTTTCAGAGGTGAAACACAGCATTTCACTTCTCAGATCTCTTCCAAGTCACACAGGGAACTGGATAACAGACTATTTTCAAGTGATTTAACAGTAGCTATGCCCACATTAGCTAGCAAGCAACATGGACCAATACAGGCGGATCTGCAAAACACAACCCTTGGTGCTGAGGACAAGAAATCCACACTACATACATTTCGTATTTGCAGCTTCATTTGGATTTTTTTTTGCTTTGCTTTGGTTTTTTGGTTTGCTTGCTTGCTTGTTTGTTTTTTTTATGCTTTGGACTAATCCAAGTCTGGTCCCATGGAGCACCTTAGGTACACTCTGAGAACACACTTTCCAGTTTAGTTTCATCCATAAGAAAACGAGTTTATGTGCTCCAGGGCCGCTCCATCATGTCAACCAAAATACAGAGAGTAGGAATGATCAGGGGTTTTATTTTGAAAGCACACTTCTCATCCAAATGTAAACGTGCCCAGAGCGTGCAAAGCAAGGGATATCTATCACTCAGTAAATGTTTGGAGAAACCAGTGATTTGCAGAATAAATTATCATGACATACAGAATGATTTATATTTTGTTACTATTTACTTTACCAAGAAGATACATGTGATGCAGAGAATCTTTTTTAATTCTCTTGACCAGATACACAAATCCAGGATTTGAAAAACAAGGACTCTCAGTAGTGGAAGTAAACACTAAATTCAAAATCAGCGATTTAATACAACTGAAAGACAATGTCATGAATATGTGACTACATTTGTGTTATTAAAATCACAGCAGCTCAATTCAGAATGACTCAGTTTTCCAGAATAAAAATTGCTTATCACGCACAGACTTCACCTAAGATGATCAAAAACGGCCTTGATTTCATAAATGCTGTTGATGAAAAGTTTTGCACCTCCCTTACTTCTTTACATCTGTTCAAGCATCACAGAAGCAAAAATCCACTCACTTGTAGAATAACCACCTTAAGTAGGAAGAAAAAAATAACATGTCTAGTCAGGATATTTAATCTGACCTCAGTAAGGAAATCAAGCTAATGGGCTAGAGCCTCAAAATATAATAAAAGGAACTGGTACCAGGCGAACTTAAGTTTAGCGCCTTGTTAAACACTAAATAACTATCATGCAGGGAAGTCTTCTAGTGAAAGAAATGTATTATTTACCTAGATAAACACAGACATTTGTCTGCAAAATAGTTTTTGTTCAACACATTTCAAAAGAGCTCTCAGGAAACCTAACCACGTTTCACACGTGGTCACACCGAATATATTTCTGGAGTAGCTATCAGACTGCTCACCTCTAAGGAAGGTTCTTTCGTAGTATCCGAGTGCTCGTTGACCTTCCAAGCCTTTTCTGTATTATCGGACTGTGACACATTGGACTCAACCCATTCAACTGAAGAATCCTAAAAATATTGAATTTGATGTAAAGAATAATTACAACAACATACTATTACATATTGATAAAAAGAAAATACTAATAAAGTGTACTGCTAATCCAGCTTGATGCATAGTGCTAACCATTATTAATGTAATACAGTTAATTAGTTAAATAACATTGATAGTAAAAATAATTGTGATATTTTCACATGGAAATTGTTGCTTCATGATCAAAACCTCACACCAGGTTTCACGAGCACATCAACACAGTATGCAAGAACTCTAGCTCTCGCTGGCAGTTTAATAGAATTACAAAGCTGTTAGAGACAAACTGTCACAATAAAAACAAAACCAAAAAACTGTTTTGATGATATTACAAATATAAAATTTTTAAATTAATGACCAAGTATGTTTTACATAAGAAGAATTAATGTAAAACCATTAACACAATGTGTTATAAAACATTTCACATTCTCTTTCTATTTCCATATCCCACTTCCCACACTTGCAATTGCAAACAGGGCACTGAGATTTTACACTTGGAGCAAGCAGTCCTCTAATGGACAGCATTTCTCTATTATTTATAGGAACTTGTCACAGGAATAACAAACTTTAGATTAAAGCTATTAGTCAGGACTGTGCTGTATCCTGGGATCCACTGATGCCATCTGAGGCTTTTTGATGCTTCCCACAGGAAATGTGGGACCTATTTGTGGCTTAGGTTCCACCCTGAAAAACGCAGTTCACTTCTGTTATCTGTCCCTGGAAAAGAAGTCTCATCATACTGCATACATGCGTCTCTCAACAAAAGAAAACCTTTAAGAAGAAAATCACAGTGCTACCTGACTTGCAGCAAAACATCCTGCTAGCATTTTATACATGGCAGCCAGAAAGCAGGACCACAATTTGCAATCAAGTCTTTTTTACTGCTTTGCCTCAATGTCCCTCAATGTAACGGTATAGGGATTCAAACGCACAAACGTGAACCTTCCTTTGGACTCATAGACGAGTAAGCCCCAGTTGAACATCCATGGAAAAAGGCAGTAGTGATTCAGGCTTAAAATCAAAGTTGAGTATCTGCAATTTTAGACACATTGTTCCATCATATATAGCACTGACTGCAGAAAACGTATGAATGTTTCCACAGTCTCCCAAAAGTTCCCAAAAATCAAGATTTTTTTCAATTTCTTTCTGCTGAAAAATTGTAAATCTCTTAGTTCCTAATGTGTGAAATGAATTTGACAATATTTGGAGACATTCAAATAATGGCACCTTTTAAATTGATTAAATACTTGGTTTATTAAAAAGATACACTTTGGCACAATTTTTCCCCAAAAGAAAATGGCCAGAGTAAGACACAAGGCTACAAAACATGTCTGCCCACAGAGACTGAAAGAGTGCAGGTTTTAAAAAATGTCTTTTGAAGCATTTTAAAATTTATTACTTACTGAAGAACTATCAAGGAAGTCATCCTTCTTTTCAGATTTTTGTTTTTTGCTTTTCTTCTTTTCTTTCTTAGGTTTTCGGGAATGTTTATCCTTTTTCTTTTTTTTCTGCACAGAATGTTCCTGCAAGTAAACGTCTGTCAATGAAATCAACTAAACCAGATTTCCAGCACAGAACAAAAGTGATCACAACCTGCTTACCAAATCGCATTGAAAAAGCCAAAACTTACACACAGCTGGACACAGCTACACATTTTGTTTCCATTATCCTCTCTTTTGTACTCCTTCTAGTTTTCATGCCTCACATCTACAGGAGATGTTTTCCCCCCACCTCTAATATATTTTTCTCCGGAACTAAGGCACTGGAACGATACGTACATCTTCTACACACTGCTTATTTTGTTCAAAGCTATTTCCTTAGGAATCATTGTATCAATGCACATATGTCCTTTCTTGAAATATCTTGAAATACACAGATTTTAAATCAATACCCCAAAACGGAATATTCTGAGGTTTCATTAGGGCTTTTCTTGTGATCCCTCACACAAGGGCTTGCTAAAAAGCCTCGGATCCTCCATAATTCTTCTCCTGGTACAATTCTTGTCTGGCAGCACTTGCCCTCCTGCATGTGGTAGGAATTAAAGCTGTAACTGAATCACAGAAGTTTTCCCTCTGAGTAGAAGATTATTTCCAGTTTAAGAAAGCTAACTTTGAAGTAAAAGGAATTTAGAAGCTGAGAGGTTTTTCAGAGCATCTTAAAGCCACTGAAGCCTTCCTTCCGTTCATACGATGGTACCAAAAAAACTAAAAATATAATTCCACAATTTACAGTTCCCTCACCTTTTCCAGTTGTTCCACACGTTCATTCACATCAGCAAGCATCCATGTATCTTCACCGCGCAGATGCTTTAGTAGCTTTTGCCTCTGCTCCTTCTCATAACTAATTTTGGCCTACGGTGAACAGAGGAGAAAAACAGCCAAATTTCAGCAGCATTACTTGCAGACACATCTCTAAGTCACGCTGTAACACAACAGCGCACAACTCTGAGAACTGTGCCTGAGAACTTTTCTTTCAAAAGGATAGCATGAAAAATATTTTAGGATTACATGTTAAATGGGAAATTCAGTTAAACTGCATTATCTAACTCCCTTCCCTAGCCAACAGCTTTGCAGCCTTTCCTGCATTGATATCATCCTAAATAATGGGGTGACACTAAGACATTCAACTTCTGTTCTCCATTTTGAGAAGCCTCCTGTTCTTACAACCTTCATGAAGTACATAACATATCATAAAGCGGGCTTGGCTTTCTGATTTTCCATTTCAAAAAAATTCTCTGGTCAATTATCCCATCCCAAAGCACTGCTCACCAGACATTAATTTAAAAAGTAAACTGCTCGTAATTCAATCTTCGTGCACATTCAGCTTCAGAAATCACCTCAGCCAGGTGAAAAATCTGGAATTGCAGAGCTCCATGGTCTCAGGAAGGATTTCCCTTTTTGAGATTGAAAATGAAAATCACAGCTTTTATTTTTCCTATGATTTTACTAGTCTTAAATCATTAGGGAAAAAGGATAGTAGGATTCTGCATATTCCAGTTCCAGAACTCCTGAAGTTTCACGGAAAGTTCACCTTCTCTAGCAGAGAATAACACTTGAATTTCTTAATAAAAAATGTTAGCTCTTGTATGGCTAGAAGAGGAGGCTTGGAGAAAGAACAACTGTCAGTGTTCTTTCACTATAATGGTTCAAAGAACAAAAATACAATCTAAAAAATAAGAAAGTCAACTCATAAGTTAGGAGTGCTAACGTATTTTTTTAAACAATGCCGTTAGCAATATTGAAAATAGCATAAAGGACAATAAAAATCAGAATACTACACATGCCTAGGGTAAACGAAGCACCCTTTTAAAGCTTCATCCTTTACTTTCTCAGTAACCCCAGAAGGTGATGATCTTTCCAATGCATTTAAACTCAAACAAAGGAAGGTTCGGACCTAGGGCTCTTAATTTCAGAAGGACAGACTTTGAGAAATCAGAACAAGTTAGGGTAAGTCAATTGGAATAAAGAGGCCAAGAACCGGAAATTTTGTTAAGTAGCTGAAAATTATTAGGACTTAACAGCTCTAGAACAAATCAGATGGTCTATAAGGGACCAAGTGAATGGTCTATCTTCAAACTCAAAAGGCAAGGATAAGGAAAGACTTAGACCATGTTGAGATATTCGTTCCAGCATCAAAATAGTTCTGAGTTTTATAAATAAACAAAACAACAGAAAAACAAGCAGGACTATAATCCAGTAAGAGTGAAATAGTTGTCAAGTATAGCCCAAATACTTCAAACCCACCAGGAGTCTGGAAAGACAAGCATGTTCTTTAGTACCTTAACACAATCCAAAAAGCTCTTTTCGCTAACCCTGAAACACATCTCAAGCTTGAACAACAGCCCTGAAACTCGATGCAGAAATCACTGACTGTTAATCTCTGGTCTAGTCCATACAGACCATGATGACCCTTCTGTCTTAAAAATACGTTCATCTGACCAAAATAAAGTAATTAATCATGCCACATTCATGGGCAAGCGAAGGATATCCTCAGCTATGCAACTCATAAAGCCCCTACAAACCAAACATACACAAAACTTACATTTATCTCTAGTGTCCACCTCTATCTAATTATAAACTTCACAAAAGCTGGCTAACAGGGAATTTTAATAACGTTCTAGATGGCAAAAAAACCCCATCAACAATAAAATATAGACTTCAAGCTTGTTTGCTCCACAAGTACACACGGACTATCTTGTCAAGGTTTAGACTGGGAAAGGATAAGCTTTCCACATACTGTTTCACTTTTCGTAGAGAAAGGGCTGAGGCTGAAGTTCACAGTTCACTTTCACCCTACCATCAATACTTTGGCATATTAACCTATGAAAACCTCAAATGAAGGTCAGTCAAGATCAGCTTGTCAACATTTCTTCATTTATTATATTCCTTTCCTTACTAGGCAGTTAATATTAGAAGATGCAAGTCTGTCTTCCTTTGCATGTAAGGTGTGGACCTACAGTAATGACATCTTTCTCTTCCTTAGAGAAAGGACAAGATCCTGTGTCAGTATCTCAGGCTCACGTGAGAAGCTGAATTAAGTTTTAGTTTTGTAAATAGCCAAGGAACAGATGTTATTATAAAACTGTTACCACAAAATTGTAAATCAGGAAGTAAAATCTTTGGGCTGGCCCAATCAGACAGTAAATTCCAGCTGCTTCTGTGCTACCCTAAAAGTCTCTGAAGGGGGCTTCCAGAGAGCCTGCATCCCCACCACAGAGCAGCAAATGCAGCACACTAGCGAGTTTGCACTCTACCATCACTTGCAAAGCAAACTTCATGCATAACGAGCAAGAGCGTGTGCCCCGATTTCTGTGTATTCGTCAGGTCAAAAGTATTTTAAATATAAATGCACTATTTTACTTCTAATTGTACAATAAAGTTATTTTCTCCAATCTGGTATTTTCATCATTGAAATGTATAAACTCCCGAATAGTTATTTCAAGACACTGGTTGACTTTTACCACAGCATCAGTTTATCATTACACGGAATTTATAGGACTCTCTTGGTTAGCTGAGATTACATCTGTGTATGAATACATATCCACATGTTGACTGCATAAAGCAGAAAATCCATTGTTGCTTCAAATCACATCAAATTTGCATGTTCTCTTCCAAAGTATTTTTAGATTTCTTTCTTATTGCTACTGAAGACTCAGTAGTCTTAAAGGTATCAAGCACAAGCTCCAGATAAAGCACAACACAGAATCTGAAAATAGCATATTCAAAATCTCAAAAAAAAAAAAACACTTCATATCACCTGTTAGAGACAAATAAGAAATTATATTCTCATTTTATCTGCAACAAACCACAAAGGCAAGTAGAGACAAGACAAGCATTAGAATAAGTTGATCATCTGCTGGTTTCTCAATAAATAGGGTATTTATCTGATATTACCTCAGATTTGCTCCACAGATAAACAATGAAGTACCATTATTACAGTTTTTGTCCACATTCCATGTTAAAAAAACCTTTAATTAAGGTTAACCAAAACTAAGCAAATCTTTATTCACATAGTCTATGCAATTTTAAGCAGCAACTGACACAATCCTATTCAACTTGTATCACAGTCCAGATACACATTTACAAACACGTCGCTATTCCTAATCGAATTACAGTAAAGATTATACATTAGCACTTCAATGGTCCCTTAAGCGTGTCCATTTTAACAATATAAAATCGGAACTGTTAAGTAAAAAGGTAAATCAAAATATATTTCAACTGAGCATTAATAGGTAAAATTAAAAAAAAAAAAAATCTAAATTCCTCCTGCGCTCTCCTTGAATATTACTCTACACCCATCTACCAAAAAAATTCTAAAAATAGAGTTCATATAACGCAAACTACTTTCAAAAACCTCTGCCACAGTCCTTCAGTTAGAAGCTATTTAGCAAAGTAAGCAGTCCAAAGGGCGACAGTGTTACACATTTGGAGCTGGCTGCCCTGTTTTATAAATTACAAGAGTAGTACAAGTTTTCCATCTTTCTTTCTTTTCTTTTTAAGTTTTCTTTTTAAGCATCTTTTTTTCTCCTATTTTTCATCTCTTTTGCCCCCCAAACTCATTTCCTCTTTACATTTCAGACATTTTATTTTCTTTTGTGGGGAGAGAGGGAGGTACTCTTCAACTGACACTCATTCATTTACTCTCCACTACCTTCTTTCTATTTATCTGCTGGTCTTTTTTGTGATTTAGACTCCTTCCCATCTCTATAATAAAAAGTATATTTTAAATAAAATTACTACTTCCTTCAAAAATTACATTTACAAAAGTTACAAATACACATTGAACAAAATGAAATTATTACAAATAAGGTACAAAAGGAGCACGAACACTTTTTATTAGATTTACAAATAAACAGGAAAAATATAGGCAAGTATTTAGGTAAATGAGATATGTGATCCTAATAAAAGAGGTTGATCAAACTCCTGAATAAAGTATGTAAATACATATCCAGGACACAGAATGACTCTAAATCATCATTAAACTGCAGACTGCGGTCTCCTGAATACGACAAGATGAATCTCTAGTGGCATTACCACCAGACTGTTAAAAGAGAGACAGATACAAAAAGCAGTAGAGAAAAGTTTGTTTTTTTCTTAGACTAAGACAAAAAATACAGATGATTGTTAACAATATCCATATGTAAAATAATAATTTTAAAAAAGCTGCCTAGGGATTTATAAAAGACTAAAGAAGTTATATTTTGACCTGAATCATCAATTTAACGCCAGGCTAGAAAGCTAGCAGCTATAACCTTTCATCCTTTCTATCTCTAAAAACTATCTAGCTCCCTCTAGCACCAAATTACAATATTCATTTTTATAATCAAGGAAGATTTTCCTCTCACCTCCCCAATTATTTCAAGCTTCACTTGGGGGGGGGGGAAGAGGGGAAATCTAAGTTGCTTTCTTTATTAGCTGCAGACATTAACCTCCTATTCTACTCGTCTTTATAATCACACATGGCTAACCAGCATCCATCTACTTTTAGTTCCTTATTCTTATATTCTATAGAGGTCAACTCCAATAGCTTAACATCTCTCAACCCATAGCAATTCAAGTGTTTATTTCAAATGAAGGTTCATTAATACTTTATGATACCACAAAAATATCAACAATTTATCCTTTCACCTTTACAGACAAGTACTTAACATTAAGTACATTTTAGGTCACCACCGCAACAATATTTTTATGTTTCTTCACCATAAATGTAAGATGCTACATATCTGAAACAACTTCTATTTCAGAACAATGCATTAACTTTGCAAGTGAGGGTGCAGGCACGGCACACAAACACACAGTACTGTTAAAAGCAACTAAGTATCATGAAAGGCAAGCAGCACGCTACATTTACT